AATCCCTATCAAAATACCAGTGGCATTTTTTTCCTCAGAACTAGAACATTTAATTTTAAAATTTGTATGCAAGCACAAAGGACCTTGAATAGCCAAAACAACCTTGAGAAAGAGGAACAAATCCTGAGGTATTATGCTCCGTGACTTCAGATTGTATTACAAAGCTACAGTGATCAAAACCGAATGGTACTGGCACAAAAACAGACATAGATCAATGAAACAGAAGGGAGAGTCCAGAAATAAACCCACACGTTTATGGTCAATTAATCTATGACAGAAGAGATAAGAATGTGCAATGGGGAGAAACAATCTCTTCAGTAAGTGGTGCTGGGAAAATTGGATAGCTGCATGTAAATAAATTGAACTGGACTACTTTCTCACAGAAAAGTAAATTCAAAGTGATTTAAAGACCTAAATGTAAGAACAGAAACCATAAAGCTCATATAAGAAAACATAGGCATAACACTATATGACATAAATGATGGAAATTTTTTTTGGATCTGTCTCTTAAGATAAAGACAAATGAAAGCAAAAATAAACAAATGGACTTCAAAGCTTTTGCATGGCCAAGGAAACCATTGCCAAAATGAAGACAGTCTACTGAATGGGGAAGAATATTTGTAAATCATATGACTGATTGGGAGTTGGTCACTGTTGTGATCTATCTGTCTATCTTATCTTTATCCTTTCATCTGTTGATGGGTCAGTGGAATATTATTCATCCATAAGATGAAATCTTGCCATTTGCAATAATGTGGATGGACTTGGAGGGTATTATGCTTGGTGAAATAAATCTGAGAAAGACAAATACTGTATGTTATCACTTACATATGGGATAATCTAAAAAATGAAACAAAAGAATGAATATAGCAAAACAGAAAAGACAGATATAGAGAACAAATTAGTGGTTACCAGTAGGTAGAGGGAAGAAAGGAGGGGCAAAATAGGGGCAAGGGATTAAGAAGTACAAACTGCCATGTATAAAATAAATAACCCACAAGGATATATTGCACACCACAGGGAATACAGCCAATATTTTATAATAACTTTAAATAACTAGTAATATAAAAATACTGAATCATGAACTTGTATACCTGAGATTAATATAATATTATGAATCAACTGTACCTCAAAAAAAAAGTCTATATTGAAAATCTATGTTTTCCACAAACATTGCTGAAATGTACTTTCTAAAAGTTTAGGATGTATGTTAGGCTGTGCCCATCGTTTTCTTACTATTTTTAATGTTAAGGTAATTTGTTCATTTTATTTCAAGTTTCTGGATTAAATGACGTTGATATCAGTTATTGCTTCTTCTGCCTTCTGAACAAAACGTTTGTTAGATAGGAAATAGTTTAGTAGATATTCTGTTCTTTGAATTAGATTCCTATTAGAAGATGTCAGGATAATTGAAACCCCTCTTTCTTCATTATAGTGTATTTTGATACAAGTTTTGTAATGTTTTTTTGGAAAGTATCATCCATGTTTGTTTTCTGGATAGATCAGCTGTAGTATGCTACTGCATAGTATAAGAAGGTTTTCTTTTTGGTTCCTCAGTTTTATTGATTACTATACTATTAAGTTCATTAGTTTCTATATAGGAGTAACTTCTGGAACAATCAGTGAATTTGGCTTTGAAAATTTTGGGATTTGGGACTCACCATGGTTTGTGAACTTGAGTAAGTCACTTAAGCTTTGTGGACCTCGGTTTTTCCATACATAAATTAGGGATAATAATGTTACTCATTATCATTTAGGATTACAGAACAGTAATCCAGTTGCTAAGCTGTCTCTGACTGTTTGTGACCCTATGGACTGCAGCATGCCAGGCCTCCCTGTCCTTCACTACCTCCCAGGGTTTGCTCAAACTCATGTCCATTGAGTTGGTGATGCCATCCAACCATCTCATCCCTTGCTGCCTGCTTCTCCTTTTATCTTCAATCTTTCCCAGCTGAGTCTTTAGGAGTGAGTCAGCTCTTCGCATCAAGTGGCCACAATATTGGAACGTCAGCTTCAACATCAGTGAATGATTATTCCAATGAATATTCATGACTGATTTCCTTTAGGATTGACTGGTATGATCTCCTTGTTGTCCAGGGGACACTCAAGAGTCTTTTTCAGCACCACAGTTCGAAATATCAGTTCTTCGGTGCTCAGCTTTCTTTACAGTACAACTCTCACATCCATTACATGACTACTGGAAAAACCATAGCTTTGACTATACAGATCTTGGTCAGCAAAGTGATGTCTCTGCTTTTTAATATTCTATCTAAGTTTGTCATATCTTTTCTTCAAAGGAGAAAACATCTTTTAACTTTATGGCTGCAGGTACCATCTGCAGTGATTTTAGAGCCCAAGAAATAAAATCTGCCATTTTTTTCTCCATCTATTTGAGATGAAGTGATGGGACTGGATGCCATAATCTTAGTTTTTTGAATGTTGAGTTTTAAGCTAGCTTTTTCACTCTCCTCTTTCACCTTCATCAAGAGGCTGTTTAGTTCCTCTTCACTTTCTGCCATAAGGGTGGTGTCATATACACATCTGAGGTTATTGATATTTTCCCCGTCAATCTTGATTCCAGCTTGTGCTTCATCCAGCCTGGCATTTTGCATGATATACTCTGCATGTAAGTTAAATAAGCAGGGTGACAATATACAGCCTTGACATACTTTTGCCAGTTTTGAATCATTCCATTGTTCCATATCTGGTTTCAACTGTTGTTTCTTGACCTGTATACAGGTTTCTCAGGAGGCAAGTAAGGTGGTCACAACAAGAGAAGTCACTGTATGAAAAGCAATAAGAAGCCTGTGCACCACAACAAAATAGATTAGGATTTCAAAAATAGCTTACTGTTAATGGTTTGGGCTTCCCTGGTGGCTCAGATGGTAAAGAATCTGCATGCAGTGCAGGGAACCTGGCTTGGGAAGATCCCCTGGAGAAGGGCATGACAACCCACTCCAGTATTCTTGCCTGGAGAATCCCCATGGACAAAGGAGCCTGGAGGGCTATGTTCCATGGGGTCACAAAGGGTCACACAACTGAGCGACTGAGCACACACTAATGGTTTATACAAATAGTGCCTTTATGTTACATGACAAGAAAGAAAAGATAGGCTTTTGAGCACAAATATGATAGCTCAGTAATGATCTTAGGGGCATAAGCTCATCTCATCTTCCTGTTCACCATCTTTAGCATGTAAGACTTTTGCCCTTTTGCTTTTTGAGTCATTGCCACAAAATGGCTATTATAACTTTGGGCCTTTTGTTATTTTCAGGCATAAAGAATAGAAAGGACTAAAACGCTCAAGGAAAAAACTGTTTTTTCTTTTTTTTTTCATTTATTTTTATTAGTTGGAGGCTAATTACTTTACATCATTGCAGTGGGCTTTGTCATACATTGAAATAAATTAGCCATGGATTTACATGTATTCCCCATCCCGGTCCCCCCTCCCACCTCCCTCTCCACCCGATCCCTCTGGGTCTTCCCAGTGCACCAGGCCCGAGCACTTGTCTCATGCACCCAACCTGGGCTGGTGATCTGTTTCACCCTAGATAATATACGTGTTTCGATGCTGTTCTCTTGAAACATCCCACCCTCGCCTTCTCCCAGAGTCCACAAGTCTGTTCTATACATCGGAGTCTCTTTTTCTGTTTTGCATATAGGGTTATCAAAAACTGTTTTTTCTTAGTGAGGTTCTCTCTTTTAATTTGGCCAGGGAACCCCCTCGGGATATATGCCTGCAGTGCATTGGCATGGCTATTCATGTTACATGGCTACTCATGACTTTCAAGGAAAGCTGGGGAATTGTATATTTTGGCTGTTCAGTCTCTATAGTAGAGGAAGGCAAAGGTGAATGTACTGTGTTTAGGATATAGGTCGGCTAGTCAACAATGTTTGCTTTCATCAGTGGTTCAAAGGATTTAATGATGCACTGTATTTTAAAAATTTTATAGTGTAATTTAAATAAATGGTATTTATTATTCCTCTTACCTTCGTTTAATGATCTTGTAAACTAGAGTGTATTCTTGATTTTATTCTAATTTTGTATTCAAGGCTCAGAATACCGTCAAGATTAGTTACTTACTTGATTGTTAAATGAGTTCATCTTATTGCCTACATGGTAGAAATTAATATAAATATGTTTATGTATAAATATTGCATTATTTCCAACCAGCTTCTGTGTTTTTATCTAAAGTGAGTGAGTGCTATTCTCACATTTGGGTAATCTTTGTGAACCATACATCCTAATGCTCAATTGTCGTGGGTTTGTTTTTATATCTGAGCTTCTCTTTTAGGGCTCTTTTGATATGTTTGAAAATCTTTTGCACAGAATGATGGTCCACCATTCATGTCTCCTGCCTTGTTTTCTCTTAGGTGTCAATGGTACCGCTTAAAGAGCCAAATCTTTCCTATTGGTACTATTGACATGAGCATTAGTTTTTCTTTTCCAAAGCCATAGGTGTCAACAGTTTTTTTAATTTTGAGCGTTTTCTCCCTAAAATCCTTCAGTTTGTCATGTAAAACTTGAAGGTTTCTAGAGTTGCCTTTCAGATTGCTGCATGACAATGACGTTCATAGTCACTGGTATTCAGACAGGATTTTATTACTTTTCCTCATGGTAAAAGATGTACAGAAAAAGCCCTAGTTTCAAATAATGAAGTCATTCTTCATTAAAAAAAAAAATGCCCCAGGAGGTAAATAATTCCTGGAGGTGAGCTGAGAAGGGGAACCAAGGAGTGAGAATCTTAAGTGAGGTCAGAGAAAACTAAGAAATAGATATCTCCAAAGATTTTGGAGATGACTAGAGAAATTTTTAGGATGCATTGTGAAGTGGGAGACGCTTCAGGTTTACTATTTCTGAATCTTTTCATTTTGGTGAAAATGTAGTAGTTTACAAATTCTGTCATATTGAGTGAAATAGGACTTTGTGTATATAGTTTCTGTTTTTTTGTTTGCTTGTTTGTTTTTGCTGCCTGCCTGCCTTCTTTTTTTTTTTTTAGACATTGTTCGAAGTGATGTTGCCTTGGATAAACAGAAAGGCTGCAAGATTGCCCAGCACCCTGATGTTATGCTGGAGCTCCAACGGGAGAAGGCAGCTCAGATGCATCTGGTTCTTCTAAAGGAGCAGTTCTCTAATACTTACAGTAATCTTATATTAACAGGTAAGGGTATTGGGGTCGGCTGGAATCTTAGAGCACTGTAGATTGATGGTCTCCACTGGTTAGCAGCTTGATGCTTGGGAGACACTAAAGTGGGATTCAGATGATGTGTCTGTCTCTTCCCACATATCCTTTTTAAAATCATGATGAGTATTCATATAAAATATTTATTATATTTTGCAGATGTATTTTGACTTGAGGTTATGGGTGGTTTGGCATGTGTGTTCTCAAAAGAAGGACCAATGAAAACCTAATGAAGCCTTGTAAAAATATGACTTTTTAGATGTGTGCCAATAGATTTGAGAGAATTACTAAATTTGGTGTCTAAGAAGCAGCTATTTTCCTCTTTCTGTGTATGCCCTTTCTGTGAACCCAGTGAATATAAAGATGAAATGTAAAAGAGATAATGATCCACAGGCAGAGCTGAGAATGTTCTATTTTGGGAAGAGTTTGAAACTATCTAGGGAATTTGATTTTCTTTTTAAGAGCAAAGAGGCTATGAGACTGAGCCATATTCACTTACATCCTTGGTTCTAGGAGGGAAGTGAATATGTGTGAAAGTTTAAAGGAGAAACAACTTTTTGCGGGGCTGCTGCAAACTTTGCTAGTAAAGAGCATGTGAATTGCATACCTTTGTCAAACTTTGGAAAAAATTCTAATAGCACACTCTAGTGTGAGAATCATGAAGGACTTCTGATGAACTGAGAACAGCAGTCTGAGTTACCTCCATTTTCCTAAGGGTACGCAAGGCAGATCTGCATATTGATTCAGATAAACTTTAATAAATCAAAGTGTATGTTTTTTTCTTGTTTATGAATATTAAAAATAAAAATATGCAATGTCTGATGGGCAATGAACATCTCACACTTACTTTTGTAAGCTCCAAGTTGGGAAAATTAAAAAATTTTTTACAAACTTGCGGCATTTCACCAGGAATTACTGAGTGGCAACCAAGTTGTTTTGCTTTTGAAAAAGCACAAGTCTCTACTAACTTTCCATCTTGTAACTGGTGAAAAACCCAACAACATAAGATGAAAGCCAGATTTAAATGTGACTTTAGAGAGCAGAGAAGAGGATTATGGATTTCATAAGTATAGGCCCTATTTTTTGTTCTTGGATAGGTCATTAACGAGGGAAAACTTTAAAGTGATTTATGGCTAATAAATCCTAAATTGGTTAGTAAAACTATGTTTAAGTTTAGATGTTTTGAAAGAACATATTTTTCTCCAAATTTCTTTAGTCTACCTCAGATGTACAAATGTACATGTGTATAGTATTTTCCAATTCAGTTATTCGAACATTTTTAAGCATACATTAGAGAGGTCAAATCCTATGTTCTTTAATGTGGCATAGAAAGAGCTTAGGGTAATTCTAATCCTAAACTGTGCATCCAGAGTATGGCTTGAAGGCATATTATCTTTGAAAACACAAATGCTCTATTGAGTTCAATGGAATCTTTTCTAATTCTCAGTAACATAATCCCTTTGGATGTTTATTCACAGTTCAAACTGTTGGAATCAACATTGTCAACTTTTACCCTGACAACTTGCTTACTTTCTGCTAAACAAACTTACCCTAGAGAAGAGCCTCTTTCCTGCTCTCACTTCTCCCAAGCTGCTTCAAAGAGCCCTCAGGCATTTTCCACATTTTTCACCCAAATGCCTGTGCAGAGGTGGTACCTTGCTGCAGACAGAGCATTTGGTGTGCCCTGGTTTGTTTACATGAAAGTTCGAAAGGTTTTGGTTCCAGGTGTTGGGAAGAGATGGAGTCATTTCGTTTTAGCACCAGTGGTAAAACTATTTTAATATCTTTTAACTAACTCTTTGATTTTACACAGTGTGGTTTTCTAATTGTTATGAAGTTTAATCCTTGATTTCTTGTATAAATTTTGAGAACATGGTCTCCAGACAGCTAAACATAATATTTAAACATAACTAAACTAACTTTTGTAAATATTTCCCTTTTCGGTGATGAATGTATATTGGTAAGGAGGGTGAGGTTGAAGGGGCAGAGACCTCTCAAATGAAGTGACTTTCTTTACCAACATGTTCAGAATACCTACCCTAGGATTTCTGCTTGGTGATGTTTCACTTATTTTGTATAACTGTGGCATAATGTTTGAAATATCTCTGATAAAATTTGTGGGAACAGGATGAGGAAACTGGGCCTCCAAAATCTCAGAAATGGATCACTCAACCTCTCTCCCCAACTATTTATAGAATTTCATGTATATGGGTAGCAGTGTATCATAATTGTTTCCTGCTAGTGGTCAGTTATTGGTATAGTCTTTATTTTTAAATTGGACAACTAAGATAACAGTAGAGGAAAAAATTAATAAAGTGATTCAAATGTCAGTATAGTAAGAAATTAATAAAGTGATGGAAATGACAGCTGCTCAAAAGCGTACTAAAAATGATGGCTGTTGCCCCTACCTCACAAATAAGCCCTCATTCTTAGGTATTCCATCTTAGTTGATCATACAGTCAGCATTGTGATGAGACGTATGCCTTCATATTCTGCATTCTAGCTCATGATCTCTCTTAAACAGCCATCCCTCAGATGACGGCAAATGATATTCTAGCTCTGAGGATCTTCTAGACAACCTTATGGTCCTAGTGACAACTCAGTCAATAGAAACAAGTAGTCCTCATTATATTTTTTAAAAAATGGATTGTACTTTTGCCTGATACTGCTGCTGTTAAGTCGCTTCAGTTGTGTTTGACTCTGTGCGACCCCATAGACGGCAGTCCACCAGGCTCCCTGGTCCTTGGGATTCTCCAGGCAAGAACACTGGAGTGAGTTGCCACTTCCTTCTCCAATGCATGAAAGTGAAAAGTGCAAGTTAAGTTGTTCAATCATGTCTGACTCTTAGCGACCCCATGGACTGCAGCCTACCAGTCTCCCCCGTCCATGGGATTTTCCAGGCAAGAGTACTGGAGTGGGGTGCCACTGCCTTCTCCTTGCCTGATACTAAACATGTCTTAATATCTTCCTGTGAATGATTTACATGGTATTGGAAATAATGTTAGCCTTACCTAATCTAGAGGGTTTTTGAAGTAAACTCTAAGGTTGTATGAAGGTGATGGAGGAATTCCAGGAGAATTTCAGTGATAGAACTGTTTTAAATATGCTGTAATCTTTCACACTAACTCTCTAACACATGCGTGTAATCTTGTCCTGTATTATCCTGTAACTTGTTGAATCTGAGAGCATTAAATATCATTGTGCATGTTACTCAAGGAGTGATAAATGAAAGTGAAACTTTGGTAGGTGACTTTAAGAAAGAGTAGGAATCATAACTTCTGTATCTTTGTGCTTTCATGATTCTTAATGTGATAATTTTCAGTTGTTGAAAATGTTCTACTGTAAACACAATGAATAAATTCATTCAAAGACTACTTCTTAAGGGTTGATTTGGATGTCTGTTAGGTTTGAATAGGTTCACATATATTATTTGTCTCCCTTCCCTTGGTGAGCCCCTCTCTTTTAAGGTATAAATTGAACTTTTGTGGCAGATGCCTGTACTGTAATCAAATGAAAAGAGAAAATAAAAAGTTAAAAGCCAGCCTTAAGGGGCAATATACTTTCTAGGATTTTTGTTTAGAACATAAACTCCCAGAAGGCAAGGAATATCATATTTGTGCAAATATGCATATTGTGCTGCATTCTGCATGGTGAATACAACATAGTGAATGATCCTGAAATTAAGTCAACTTTTGAAAAATTTATGTTGTAAAGTCATCTAGTCAACTCTCATTTCCAGGCGGCCTGAAATATATAGCCTTATAAATGATGGCATTCATCAAGATGCTTTCCAAAATTCTTTTTTGAGGACTCTTGTCATGTTGTTGTCTGGTACTTTAGGTTTTGTACTTCTTCTTTCAGTAATTAGATTTCAAAGTAGACTGGAATTCCTATGGTTAGCTTTACTGTATTACTGTGAGAAATGAATTGAGCAAAAGAAGCTCATACTTCCCTGTTATGGTCAATCTTTCTAACTTCAGCTGAGCAAAGGGCTCAAATAAGTGGAATGAAAATTGTTCTCTCAGTTTTCAAAATGTAGAATCCAGATCTGTTTAATTATTTGCATTATATAGTATAGTATTGAGAGCTTTCCGGGTGGTGCCAGTGGTAAAGAACCTACTTGCCAGTGCAGGAGATGTGAAATGTGGGTTCAGTCCCTGGTGGAAGAGCCCTTGGAGGAGGACAGAGCAACCCACTTCAGTATTCTTGCCTGGAGAATCCCATGGATAGAGAAACTTGGCAGGCTACAGTCCATAGAATCTTAAAGAGTAGGACATGACTGAAGAGGCTGAGCACACATACAAGCATGAATATTTCAAAGTTGTTTAATTGATCTTCTATTGCTAGGCATCAGTTCCGTTCAGTCGCTCAGTCATGTCCGACTCTTTGCAACTCCATGAATCGCAGCATGCCAGGCCTCCCTGTGCATTACCAACTCCCGGAGTTTACCCAAACTCATGTCCATTGAGTCAGTGATGCCATCCAGCCATCTCATCCTCTGTCATCCCCTTCTCCTCCTGCCCTCAGTCCCTCCCAGCATCAGGGTCTTTTCCAATAAGTCAACTCTTCGCATGAGGTGGCCAAAGTATTGGAGTTACAGCTTCAACATCAGTCCTTCCAATGAACGCCTAGGACTGATCTCCTTTAGGATGGAGTGGTTGGATCTCCTTCCAGTCCAAGGGACTTCCAAGAGCCTTCTCCAACACCACAGTTCAAAAACATCAATTCTTTAGCACTCAGCTTTCTTCACAGTCCAGCTCTCACATCCATACATGAACACTGGGGAAACCATAGCTTTGAGTAGACAGACCTTTGTTGGCAAAGTAGTGTCTCTGCTTTTTAATATGCTATCTAGTTTGGTCATAACTTTCCTCCCAACGAGTAAGCGTCTTTTAATTTCATGGCTGCAATCACCATCTGCAGTGATTTTGGAGCCAAAAAAGTAAAGTCTGAAACTGTTCCACTGTTTCCCCATCTAT